GCATATTTAAAATAATATTTCTATGGACATCATCACCCTGTTCCAGATTGTATCTCAGGTTTGGTATACACTACAAAAATAGAAATATTTCTTCAGTTCTTAAGGCGTCACATTGAGCAACATGTTGAATCAATGTGTGAAATTCAACACTAGATGCTACAGGACATTCATCTCTTTAGTAGAGAATTTCTTTGTGAAAGTTTTGCAATATATTGCAGGCAACAGGGCAGCAACTGACCCACTGCAGGTAGACAGTTAGAATTCACAGCTGGGTTAACGGCTAAGGACAATATATCCTCAATTAGCCTGGCTTCCCTTTAGGCAAAGTGCGTAGGTCTCCTCTCTGCCTTCTCCCGATTGTATAGCTGCCATCTAAAATTTGCTGCAAGCCACAGTACTCCCCTCAAGTCATCCATTTCCAGTAAATGATGCCCCTGTCTTCTAGCTGGCTGTGCAATGCAAGTTATTGACAGCTAGACTTCATTTCCAAAGAGGAGGAAGGATTTCATACTGAAAGTGCTGTACCTACATAATTGGCTTCTCTAATAACATCAAAACCTAAGCCTGAACGAGTGCCATAAATGGAATAAAACATAAAATGGAATGGATTTTAATTGCTTACTTCTTCTAAATCTAAAACACAACAAAGATGGCAGGAGAGGTGATGTGTTGCAGCTGTAGCATATGGACACTACTGAAAACCTGTATGATCCACTGCAACCATATCTGTAATAACTGTCTGCAGCTCAAGGAATTTTTGCCTCAGAGTGACACTGCAATGCATCAGGGAGTGGGAAGTTGCCTGGGTGTTTTGTTCCAGGAGACCATCAGATCTCTTAGGTTAGGTACAAGTCCAGCATCTTAAAACACATTGGAAAATTGGACACTTTATTAAGCTGCCGAGCATGAATTTTAACTATTATGAAATGAGTAAAATAAATTTGTCCTCATGCTTGGCTAAGTGCTGCATTGGTGCAAAGGCATTCCCAACTAGTTATTAGGTTTCACGTGTCTATCTTCACCCACACTTCGAGTGGTGTGACTGACCCTCAACTGCCCCCAACCCAGCTCGACCTGACCTGAGAATATCAAGATCCAGCATGGAGCAAGTCCTGAGGTTGCGGGTTTGAGACACCATACCTATACTTAAGATATGATCTGTGATCGGGGTAGGAGGGTGTAACAGCGAGTGAGGCAGGTATGACAATCAAGAAGGTATCAATGAAGGAGCCTCAGCCTTTGTATGTATGTAATACTTTTGATGATTTTTGTAGCTTGTATGGACAAAGCAGATACTCCAGGAAGTTTGAGCAAATTGACAATAGCTCCTCAATGCTGGGGACCATTCAAATGGGCAGAGTAAAATGGAATGTAATTTTACCAGGGGACAATATAATTCAGGAGATAGATACCATTCTCTGCAGGTGAGGGTGTGAGTTTGTGTTGCATTGCTTAGAGCATTCATAACGAAGTGGATGAATTCATGGTGCAAATACAAATAAATGTTGAGAATACAATAGCCATTACACAGAGGTACACACAAGGTGCCCACAGCCAGGACCTGAATATTTTAATGTATTTGACCTTTTGGAAGACCAGGATGAATGGTAAAAAAGGTGGTGAGGTAGCTCTATTAATAAAAATAGAAACAATCTTGGCTCAGTGGAACAAGATGCAGAAACAGTTTGGAGGGAAGACACAGTGGTAAAAGGAAGTTACTGGTGATATAGTTCATAGGCTGACAAACACTAGCTCCATTAGGCCAGAGGATAAACAAAAAAAAAAGTCTTGTAAGAAAGGTACTGCAATAATCCTGGGTGATTTAATCTTTGTTCAGAGGTTGTGGGCATTGCTGGCTGGACCAGCAATTATTGCCAATCCCTAGTTGCCCTTAACAAGGTAGCTGTTGCAGTCCATTTGATTTAGGTAGACCCACAGTGATGATGGGTAGAGTGTTTTTGGCCCAGCAAAACTGAAGGAATGGCAATATATTTCTAAGTCTGGATAGTTAGTAGCTTAGAGGGAAACTTGTAGATGGATGTGTTCCCATGTACCGGTGTCCTCAGTGATAGTGGTTATGGCTTCAGAAGGTGGTCTCTCTAGAAACTTGGTGAATTTCTGCAGTGCATCTTGTAGATGGTACATATGCTACTACTGAATATTAGCAGTGGAAGGACTGAATGTTTGTGTATGCAATGGCAATCAAGCAGGCTGGTTGTCCTGGATGGTGTTGAGCTACTTGTGTGCTATTGAAGCTGCACTCATCCAGGAAAATGGAGAATATTCCATCATACCCTTGACTTTGGCCTTGTAGCTGGTACATGGTTCAGTTTCTGATCAATGGTAACTCCCAGGATGTTGATAGTGGGAGTTCAGTGATGGTAATGCCATACAATACCAAAAGGCAATGGTTATATTCTCTCTTGTTGGTGATGGTCATAACTTGGCACTTACGTGACTTGAATATCACTTGACACTCGTCAGCCCAAATTTGAATTTTGTCCAGGTCTTGCTGCATTTGAACATGGCCTGCTTCAGTATCTGAAGAGTCATGAATGGTGCTGAACATTGTTCAATTGCCAGCAACGTCCACACCACTGACCTTACTACGGAGTGAAGGTCATTGATGAAGCAGCTGAAGTTAGTTGGTTCTCTGGCACTACTCTGTGGAGATATCCTGAAGCTGAGATGACAGACCTCCAACAACCACAACCATCTGCCTTTGTGTTAGGTATGACTCCAATTGGTGGAGGGTCTTCCCCCACTTCCATTTTTGCTAGGGCTCCTTGATGCTGCACTCGGTCAAATGTGGCCTTGATGTCAAAGGCTGTCACTCTTACCTCCCCTCTGGAGTTTAGCTCTTTTTTCTATGTTTGAACCAAGACTGTATAGACATCAAGAGTTGAGTGGGCCTGGCGGAACCAAAACTGGGTGTCAGTGATTGTTATTGCTGAGCAAGTCAAGCTTGATAGTACTGTTGATGACCCTGCCGTTATTTATTGATGATTGAGAGTAGACAATGGGATAGTAATTGGCCGGGTTGGATTTGTACTGCTTTTGTGTACAGAACCTACCTTGTCAATTTTCTACATTGTCTGGTAGAAGTCAGTTGGACTGGAACAGCTTTTCTAGGGCTGCACATTCTGGAACAGAATTCTTCAGTACTTTTACCAGAATGTCGTAGGGACCCACAATCTTTGCAATATCCTGTGCTATCAGCTACTTCTTGATATCACATGGAATGAATCAAATTGGCTTAAAACTGACAGCTGTGATACCAAGGACCTCCAGAGGAGGTTGAGATGGATCACCCACTCAGCATTTCTGGCTGAAGATTGTTGCAAATGCTCAGCCTTATTTTTTGCACCGATGTGCTAGGCTCCCCCATCATTGGAGGATGTGGACATTTGCGGAGCCTGGTCCTCTCGTGACTTGTTTTAATTGTCCACCACCATTTGCAACTGGATGTGGCAGGATTGCTGAGCTTAGATCTGATCGGTTGGTTGTAGAATCACTTAGATCTGTTTGTCACTTGCAATAGTCCTGTTTTGTAGATGCACCAGGGGTCTGGTGCTGTTTCTCATGTGCTCTACTGCACTCTTCATTGAGCTAGGACTGATCCCCTGGCTTGATGGAGGATATGACAGGCCACGAAGTTGCAGATTGTGTTGAAGTGCAATTCAGCTGCTAATGGTCCACAGCATCTCGTAGGTGTCCTCTCTTGAGTTACAAGATCACTGTAAGTGCCACACTATGATGGAGGGTATCCTCCAAGTAAAGCTGCAATTTTGTCTCCACCAGTTCTGTGGAGTGATCACTCTTACTGATAGTGTCATGGCAAGAAACGCCTGTGGCTGGGGGACTGGAAAGAATGAAATCAAGTATGTTTTTCCCTCCTGTTCGTTCCTTCACCATCTGCTGCAGACCCAGTCTAGCAGCTATGTCTTTTAGAACTGAACCAGGTCAGCTAGTAATGATGTTGTTGGGTGTATTGTACTCAAATGTGGCAACAGTACAAAACAAATAGGAAAGTAAGTTGCCAGGATGATACAAAGAGCCTGCAAAGGAATATAGATAGGTTAAATGAGTGGATAAGAATTTGGCAGATGTAATATAATTTGAGAAAATGTGAGGTCGCCCACTTTGGCAGAAAGAATAGAAAAGTAGACTATTACTTCAATAGAAAAAGACTGCAAAATGCTACAGTACAGAGGAATCTAGATGTTCTCGCACATGTTAATAAGCAGGTACACCAAGCAATTAGGAAATCAAATAAAATATTGGCTCTTATTGTGAGGGGAACGATGTGTGTTTGAATGTTACTGGTGATGGGAGGGTGAAGCGTAGTAGTGGAGGCAGGAAAAGTGGACATTACTTTGCTTTGATCTTAATGAAAGGCAGAGTAGGTTTGAGGTGCCTAACGGCTGACTGTTGCTCCTATTTTTCATGACCATACTATCTTATCCCCATTGCATCCATTCACTGTCGTAATGACTGACAGAAGAACTGAGGAACATCTGTGAAGAGGAGAAATAGATTGTTTCATAGTGAAAAAGAAAATGACCCACTCTGCCCAGTGACAGGCAGGCAGATTCCTAAGTCTTTGAGCAATTTATGCACCCTGTCCCCATCCAAATCCCCAAACATACACTTGTACATGAAACAGTGGGCAACCTGAAACTAAACTCTGGAGCTCGGACATTCTCTGCTTAACTGGCTAAAATAAAACTAATTGCAAGAGTAAAAACTGCTTCAATATTATTTACAGATCAATTGAGAGACTATGGTCATTCGTCAGTGATGATAAATTAAACCTTTGGCTTAAGGATTGCGAAAGGACACAAGGGGGTGTGTGTGGTACCAGACAGTGCAATCCTCAGCCCACATGGAGAGACCCTTGTGCAGTCAATGAAAGCAGTCAGCAGAAATATGATGCAATGCCCCATGTACAAATGGATGAATGCAAGTGTAGCTGTCAAAATACAATAAGGAGGTCTTACCCTGTAAAGCAGCATATGCTTTTTCCAATGACGTTATTCTTCTAGGTGCTTGAATTTGGAGAAAGCAGAGAATAAAATAAAAAAGCAACAATTTCAGTTACAAGCTCAGACCCCTATTAGAAAAACAATAAAATATGTAGCTCCTATTATTTTACTCTGGACTAAATGGGATTGATCCATTTACTCAAACTCCATGTCATAGTAAAGTGAGAACCAGTCTCACTGAGTGGACTATTATACACCATAATGATATTTAAATCACCTTCAAAGTGAAGTTAATTAGGCACCTCATCAATCAACCCAATTTAATGATGGCTGGTTTAGTTGGTTTTCAAGTTCATCTCTGCTGAGATGGTATACCCAACTGCCATGCGATGTTCCATGTGTGGTTTCAACTCACCCAACTCAGATGAGCAATTTGGAGTGATTCACAATCATGAGTTTCCAGGGGTGTCACATTAACTGGGGCTAATCGCACTCAGATTGCACCTCTTTCTGACTGAAGCAGAAACAGCTTTGACCTCAGACAATGATTGCTGAATTTGAGTTCAAGGAACTTACTCGAAATAAAACAAGGTCAAAACAAATCCTGTTCCAGGGAATGTTCCCACAGCAAAATGAAGTGTGATTCCATTCTGGTTTCACTCATTATTGGATACTGAAAGATTTGATGACCTGACAAGCATTGGCAAGCTTTTGGAATTTGCTTCAGTAAAAAGGTGCCCACAACTGGATTCCATTATTAAGAAAATCCCACATGACAGCTACTTATTTTTAGCAATACACTGAGCAACAAGCTTGGGTGGACTGAACACTTTTTCGTTAAATTTAGTTTATTGCATAAACATCGATGCAATTTTGGTATGGTAGGAATTAGAGCTTGGTGCAGTCAAGGGCACAAACTGTGGTGTCTTGAATGAGTTAAAGTTCTGGAAGTCAGAAGCAAGGAGGTTGGCTTAGAGAGCATTAGGAAAAGCCAAAGTAAAGGCATGGATGAGACTACCAGCAGTGGTGAAATTTAGGAACAGCCTAGAGTGAAAGTAGATAAGATGACCCCCAGATGCTTGTATTGTTCTTGGAGGATGAATTGACACTACAAATATTTAATGGCAACCAAACCTAACACAAAACTGGCAAGAGACAAGCAGCGTATGTACATATGAATTGTAGGACTGAGATTAGTGCTATCACTACAAGCCATGGCATGTTATAAGTTTTGTAGGACAACAGAAAACAAATACAAGTCATGTGAACAAGGATGCTGATTGAGCATACATGGGTTTGGGGATGGTACTAAAACATGTTTCAGGTCCGGGACAATTGGAAGGCAATAAAATGTGGCCCAAAGAACTTCTCAAAACTATTGTTAAATGTTACACTAAGACAAGAGAATACAGAATCATGAAACACAAGAAACTATTGGGTTCATCCAGTGTCATTGCCAGCTCCTTGTTCTCCAGTCAGTTCTATTCTCCTGGCTTTTCTGTACAGTCCTGTAAATTTTCTTTTACAAGTTATTTTTGAATCCATTCCCACCGTTCTTTCAGGCACCCATTCCAGATCATAATAACTCAGTCAGTAATAACAAAATCCTCATCACAATTCTTTTGCTAATTCCTTGAAATCCATATTCTCTTGCTATGAACTGTTCTGTCGCTGAGAAGAGTTGCTCAATGGAACAATTACTCATTTCAACAGTTTCCCCAAGATCTCATGGCCGAATCAGCTCATTCTTACTGTCTAAACAAATAATCCCAAAGAACTGAGAATCACGGAGATCAGACAAAACCAGAAATTGCTTGAAAAACTCACCAGCTCTGGCAGCATGTGTGGAGAGAAAGCAGAGTTAACGTTTCAGAATGGAAGTTCTGAAGAAGGCTCACTGGACCCAAAATATTAATTCTGTTTTCTCTCCACAGATGCTGCCAGACCTGTTGAGCTTTTCCAGCAACTTCTGTTTTTGTTTCATTTTTATTGTCTTTTGGCTTGTATTCTGAGTGAGGAAACTGTTAGTTGCTCTGCCTGTTTAGTTTGTTTTACAAAGGAAGAAGTTCTGTTAAATACATGTTTTGATCAATGTTGCTTTCTCTTGCATAAGTTGCACTGGATCAGAAATCCAGAGGCAAACGAGGTATCAACTCATGAGAAGACAGTGTCAGGATCACTGGAATCAGGGTATGGCTGCAATGTCTCAAGAAATGTAATAATCCTACTAGAATTGAGGTGAGGATACTGTTCTCTGTTCACCCCGCAGCCTCATAACAGCAACAATGATAGGATTACAAACTCCTTTCACCACTCCTTTCAATCTCCAACAATTACTACACCTCATTTCACTACAGTTTCACTACACCACACTTCCCACATCTCACACACTATCAGCTGTTCTATCACAATAATTACAATCTCCAAGTAGCTCACATACCTCTCACTAATATACACTACCTATCTTGTGGGAGAAGATGGTATGGAATTCAGGGCAGCAACATAGGTGTGGAAGAGGAAGAGCTCACGTGTGCACTCTTACCTCCTCAAAGAAAGACTCCTTGCTACCATGGACAGGGGCAGAGTTGTACCTGCGGTTATTCAACAACATCTTGTATTAATAAAACATGGCAGAAAAGGCCTCAGGCCTTTATAAACAGAAAACGTAACCATGGTCAGGAATTCCCAATCCCATTTCTGTCACAGTCCATTTCCATTGTAGGAAGAGCCTTAACCTTTAGTGACAGAGTTACAAATTTATGTGGGAGAGATAAAGGTCATGGAGGGCAGAGATGGTCTGTAGAACAGTCAAGTTGTGCAGTTAGTTAGATCCTCAGCCCTTTAAAAATTAGACAAAATGCCTGCCCAGGTCAGTGAGCACTGAAAAAAAATCTGTTCCAGTAGTTATAATAACTGGTTTTGATACTGTCACAAGGACTACCATTAGATCGTTATTAATACTTGGCTGGTTTCAACAACCTACAATTATCCCAGCAGAGGATTGTCCATTTATAGTTTGAGTGACAGCTTAAAGAGGCAGTTAAAGGATTAGATGCCTTTGATTTGAGTTTTATGAATACAAACCTGTTATAGCTTAATAAGGAATTAAGTATTTGAGGGTTTTTAAAAGTGTTGAATGGGCTTTCATAAATGGAAGTTAAAAGACAGTAGTGCATATTTAATTTTTTTAATTTCAACTCCACTTGGCTGTGTTGGTCTGCTCTTGGGACATAGCTGATGAGTTTGCACGGAGGATTTATAGGGCAAAGAGTGGTGGGTGGGGGATAGGTTGGCATACATGATGCATGGGACTATTAATGGGTGATGAGGTGTGATGAGTAGGGGTTAGAGGCCTATTTAACAAAACAACTCAGACAAAATCCCAGGAAATAAGGTGGATGGTTTAAACAGATATAACACAGTGTGGAGCTGGAGGAACACAGTAGGTCAGGCAGCATCATAGGAGCGTCTGAAGAAGGGTCCCAACCCAAAACGTCAGCTTTTCTGCTCCTCTGATGCTGCCTGGCCTGCTGTGTTCCTCCAGCTCCACACTGTGTTATCGCTGACTCCAGCATCGGCAATTCTTACTATCTTGGGATGTTTTAAACACCTGGAAGCCCTGGTGGTCACCCCTTGACTGTGCTCTGACAATATCCCACATACGCCCTCCCTCACTGAAAGCAAGGCAATTCTCCTTGGACACGTAAATTCGCCTCAGTGGCAAAAACATGTTGCACAAAAATCAAAGAGGTTTTAAGAAATGTCTTACAGGAGGAAAGGGAGGTAGGGAAGTGGAAAGATTCAGGGACGAAATTCTACAACTTAGGACCTTGGCAACCAAAGGTACAGCAGCCAACAGTGCAGTCTGTAAAAATGGAGATGCTTAAGAGGCCAGAATGATAGTGTGGACATGTCAGAGGATTGTGGGACTGGAGGAGATTTAAATTGAGCCAAGGTAGGTCATCAATTATAGGTGTGAAAGGTTGTGATGTGCATTCAAACTTTGGTGGAGGTATTGTGCAGCAATTCTTCAACCTGATCATTGTATCCCTTTGGACATCCTTCCATCCCATACACACTGTAGAATAACCATCTAGAATCCAATTCTTCCTATGCTTCCCACCACATGCTAATTCATGTTCCTTTCAGCACTGAGAATATGGAAGCCCTTGTACCCCCTGAAAAAGTGTAGGCAAGTCTTCAGGAAGAAGCACTGTCACTCAACCAGATTGTCAGAACCAGCCCAGACAGTAGTACACTTTGCAGGCTGGTTTCCTGCACATTGTGATTCACTGGATCCAAGTTTACAGGAGCTGGAGAAGGGGGAAGAGGATGGCACAGGTGCCAGTATACCAGTGGGCAAGGCTACTACTGACTTTGCTGCACAGGATGTGGTCAGGGTGTCTAGGCTACCAAAGAGGCTAGTGGAAGTCGAGCAGGAAATGCCAGACACATTGGGCAGGCTATTAAACAAGACCTCACACGCAACCTCCTGAGACAGGGAGGAAGTCAGCTCCAAATTACCTCAAGGCTTCAAACAAATCATGGAGCCAATACTTTCCAGTGTGGACTGAGTAGTCAGCTCCATTAGTACCACAGTGAAAGCCACCATTATGCTGCCTGTTCTGACAACCTCCTCACTCAGAAGGGAGGAAAGAGTAAAGAACTTCAATATTTATATCGTGCTGCTCACAATCATAGGGCAAAATGTTTCACAGCCAAAGGATTGCAAAGAGTAGTCACTGTTGGAATGCAGGAAACAGTTCAGACAGTTTTGACGAAGCGTCATAGATCTGAAAGTGTGACCCTACCTTCTTCATTTCGTTGAGTGTTTCCAGCATTTTCTGTTTTTATTTCAGATTTCCAGCAGCATTTTGCCTTCTGAGGATCTTGAAATTCTTTTGCGGGGACACAGGCAGCCAGCGGCACTGGGTGAGGATAAGGTTGATGAGTGTGCAGGCCTTGTGGGAAATGCAGAGTTGTGGATTAGCTGAATGCGTAGAGGGTGGAAGCAGAGAGGCCAGTGAGGAGGGCTTTAAAGAAATCACTCTTCAAGATGAAGATAAAGTGGGCCTGTCAGGTGGTCCATAACGTAAGGGAGCACTGAAGGCCTGGCACCTTGCATTGTTGGGCATGGTTCACTGAGGCCTGTTCCATGCCCAACAATGCTCCAAACACACGGCTGTGACAACTGAAAGATTCACCCCCACAAAATGCCCAGGAAAATTCAATCATGCAGGTGGCCAAAGAGAGATCCCAAAAATAGAATGGACAGAATCTGTGGGGAGCTGCCCCTCCAGTCGCAGGCTCTTTCGCTCTTCCATTTGTTGCTGGAAGGCTCACAGTAACACGAGAGAAGCAGCCTGCAACTGGAGGAGGTGGGCGGCAGCAGTGAGCGAGACTGCCATGTCCGCGGCAGGAGGACAGGGGTGGGCGAGAAGCAAGGCCGGTGCTTAGGGACCCTTGGAGGAGGGACGTGAGGCTGCAAAAGGCAGTGAAGAGCTGCAAACAGGGGAGAGCAGCTGCTAAGAGGAAAGATAGGCTGCCAATGAATGTGGGGGAGGGCGCTGTATAGAGGGTCTGTCAAGGGAGGAAAACAAGGGATTGTGGGACTGTGACAGGGGGTTGCACTGACAAGGGAGGGGGGGGGGGGGGGGGGGAAGAGGAAAAGAAAAAGGGTCCATAAAGGGGAGAGAACAGAATTAAACCTTTTAACAATGGAATATTCAGCTATGTGGGAACCAGGAAAACTTGAATTCACCAAAGTAATGAATTTCTTACAAACGATGTTAATGACCGTCTAGATTTTGTTTTAAACCAGACTGAGACAAATGCTCAGAAAATGCATTATTAAAGTGTTTTTTTTCAAAGAGCACAGGAGCTTTGAACATGTGATGAGGCCATGAAGGAGTCAGTTCTTACAGACTGGAGAATCTAGCTTATGCCTGACATAGTTCCAGGGCTATTATATGGGGGAAAATATAGTGAATGCTATTGGAATGAACATTAAATTGGATAATTTAATATTAACAGTTTTATGATCAGAAAAATTTGCACTGCGTATTATCTATTGCATCTCAGAAATGCCTCATAAATTGTGAATTATTTAATACAGTGACTGTATTAGAGAATTATGCATCCATTTAGCTGTGACCTCACAGTCCACAGAAACCATGTTTATGGCCTTTTTGCTTGTGGAAGTGAGTCAGGGTCATGTCCACAAAACCACATCTTCACAAAGCTCTATTTTATTGTTTACATTTTAAGGTTGACTTTTATGGACTAAACATGGCTTCTGCCAATCATAGAACGTAATTTCTGGAAAGTTTCAATCAGCAGTTGTCAGGATTGAGCTCAGTCCTCATCCTCCTGGAGTTTCATAGCCTTGCATCTGGGGCGATGCAGCCTCCACTGTTCTTTTGTGTTTGCAGGCTGCAACTGACTGAGAAAAAAAGACAGCCTGAAGTGGTGCCAACAAACTAACATCTATCTCATACAATGTCCAATAGGTTTTGACATGGACTAGAAGATTAACCTTGTTATACCTGTAGAGGTGTTAATAGTCCCATTGATCACTAAAGGTGAATACTGAACCCCTGTCCTGAGGGAGAGAGACAAATGTTTAAACTGGAACTGACTCCTTCATGGCCTCATCACATGTTCAAAGCTCCTGTGCTCTTTGGAAAAAAAAAACTTTAATAATGCTTTTTCTGAGCATTTGTCTCAGTCTGGTTTAAAACAAAATCTAGTCTGTCATTAACATCTGACCAGTGACAACAACTAAACCTCAGACTTAGCTAAGCTTGGCTCCCATCTAAATCCCCTTCAAAACCTAGTTTAAGGAGAAAATGCCTTTGCCCGATTGTCAAAGTCTGTACACCAAATGATTATTGTGATATACCTTCATCAACTGTAAAGTGAATTCTGTAACTTTCCAACTGCACCCACCTGAAACTGAGGTGGGTTTTTCTTTATGGAAAAGATCTTAACTGGACACCAATTTTGGGACTCTGACAAAAATCATGCGAATTAATGTCCAGATCTTTAATTTCTGTTTTTGACATTATTCTTAGCTGGAAACTTTTTCCTTTCTTTACCTCCCACTCCCCTCATTGTATGCTTATGTGTGCATGTGTTGTGACAATCAACTCCCAAGTTTGAATGCATAATTAAAACATACTTCATTTTCAGGGTAAGAGAGAATTTGTTGAGGGTCATTTTTAATTTGTACTTAACATACAGAGAGTTGGGGGAAATATGTCACAGCCCACATCAGATAAATGTCCATCCTTATAGAGGAAAAGAAGAAACATTTGAAAAAAACATATATCCCTCTGGACAGAAGAGGGGAAAATAAAATAATTCAATTAAATTATCTCCCTTTCCCATCTGTAACAGTTAAGTTTAAAAACAATTGTTGCTAACTTATGCTTGTTGTCCTGTGCCAATTTCAGTGTGTATTAAGTATAATAGATTGATGATGATTACTGAGGATAATAATGAATTCTTCTAATTCTGCTTCTGTGCAAGTGCAAATACCCAATCGTTCATTACACATACAGAAGGTAATGTCACTATACGATTACATCACCTCATAAAAGAGTGAGAGAGATTGAAAAAGGAACGCTTGAAAACCAGATTGTAGCCCTTGAGAAAATCTCAGGGGGAACCCTCAAAAGTAACATACTTTGATCTCTGATATCCAATATGCATTGTATCTGAAATTGTAGTCTAGAAGCATTTTGAGCATTCAGAGCCTGAAGGCAGATTGTGTTAGACTGATTAATGTTTCATACAAATTATGGAAAGCTCTGAAGGGCCTCTGATCTCCTTCAAGTACTTTTTCATTTAAAAAAAATCTGCAGCCTTTACCTTTTACTTGTTTTTCTCCTTAAAAATAATGTAAAGCTTTGAGTGGTTTCTTAGAACAAAAAAGCTTTAATCATTTCTTTAAAACTACTTCCATCTGCCACATCACTCTCTTGATTCAGGGACATTTCATACTGTCAAATGTATATGGACATTGCTGTGTTTAAACAAGGTTATGGAGATGGTGGCTTAGACAGAGTCTGAAAGGAGGTGATAGTTGTGGAGGAAGCTCAGAGATGGTGGTGAGGAGGAGACCCAAAGAAGACATGCAACTTGGTTAAGATGCTTCTTTTGTGCAGATTTGGGATTCCTCCTCATCTTGCCTATCCATACTGGCCCTGACACCTCGAACCTGGAAATGCTGGAAGATGCTTCCAAGTGGTGATAACATATTCCTGTGGAAGCTATCAGGGAATAAGGATCAGTCCTGCAGCCCGTACTGACAAAGCACATCCAAGGTCTGGGATGTGTTCACAGCTGACAGGGTAACATCTGAATTCTGACTTCACCATGTCCTTCCAAGCCACGTCAGATAAATTTCCACCCACAGTCACCATTTTTGCACACGCTATTCAAGCCTTCCGTTTCCCCACAAACAATATGACATGATCCTGTAGTATAATCATGATTGAGAACAAGATTGAATAACCAGTCAAACGGTCATTCAGCTAACTAGTAATTTGAATGGTTCAAATGTTATCACCACAAGCACCAAATAATCCGGTCAAACAAATGACAATGGCCATTTACCATGGTTTTACACACTGATCATTTTCACAGCAACCTTCCTCCCTAACAACTTATGTGGGATCTTCCCAGAAGACCACTCCTGGTTACTTTGTAGTATGTGCCCACTCTGCCATTTTGTGCTGCTCACTAAGGATTGTTTGAGGTAGTTCACTGTCACCAATCCACCTTTATCTTGGGCTTATCTAGAGATTAGTGAAGGATACTCAGCTGTACAATATCTACAGAAGAGACACTGTTAGATACTAAGTTAACTGCACAATAGCAATAAATACAGCTACATTTGGTTAGGTACAATTATTAGGACCTTAGGGAACTCTTAGAGATCTACAGAGATGGAGTACAGCTCCCAAAGATTGTGTGTGATATCAGTAAAATGAGTGGAGCCAATATAACATGACCATTAACCCCTTCACCACAATTCCCTTACACAATGCTTCATGCTATCCAATCTCAAATGAAACAGTGAGGCACGTTGAGTTTCTAATTAGACCAAGTGATAGCAACCTTCACAGAGTGCATCAACCTCAATATCTTCTTTTTGGGAAGATACATTTCGCATGTTTTCTAATTGCTATATAGGTTCTGCTTCCAAGTGGGGAATGCAAGATGGTGCTCACTTTCTCTAGGGACAGAGGTGGTCCAGTGCTTATTTTGCAGGGTCAGGAGATAGCCCAGCAGCTACAAGTGCTATAGGGCTTGAAATGGTAGCTGCTTTAGTTTAATGCATTCCTTGGAGCAAGTCAGTGATCTACTGTGGATGGGGCACCAATCCGAGAACCAGCTCCTGCCATTCAGCTGTTGTTGGGCTCAGTCTGCATACCCACACAAGACCAATCCATTTTCCTGTCAGTCAGAGACAATGTTAGCTATTATCCAGTGAAGCACAGCCCATAATACTTCCAGTGAACCATGCTGAAGATTTTTCTGAGCTTTATTATTGTCTACTAAGTAGAGTAGAAGACTTTTCTTACATTGGTCAGGCCTCCAGCACACAATCCTATCTATGTATACACCAACAAGCTTTGAGAGGATCAGATATTTTGTCAGCTCTCTCTGTCTTATGTCTCACTCAAAGAGAAGGTCAATCTTATGAATTTGTGCTCTCAATGGAAGTCTTCTCCACCACAAGTGCACATTGGGAATAAGGATTTGGGAATTTGTTTCTGGGACATGTTACCTGACCTCATCTACACCAACGAGGGAGAACTGGCAGTGTAACTGATCTGCAATCACCTTCTAGGGTCTCAAATACTAACACCAAGGATCCCCCTTTACCACAGTCCCTCAGAGAAGCAACTTTATGAATTTACTATGACTACCCAGGGTTACGATACAATGGATGTAGATAGTAACTTTGTGTCCTTACCAGGTTTGGGAATGAGTCCTTGGAAAGGCCTGTAAAATGACAAAAGCGTACAAGTTTTACAAGAGTGTGAAACCATTCATCTGAATGTAGTGTGACTGAGCCTGTGAGGACATCAGAAAAATGAAAAATTTGGCCCTTTAAGCCTGGTTAGCAATTCATTAAGACCACAGTCAATCTTCTGCCTCAATGCCACCTTCGTACATTATCCGTGTTATTCTTTGACTCACCCTATCACAACCATTTTTTAAAAAAGAATTATAATCACTGCAACTACGCTGAGGTCTGGAGTACCGCACACTGTTTTGGTTGTGTTACTAAGGAAGGATATAAACCTGTCCTAAAGAAAGTGCAAAGATGAACAGACTGGTTCCTGGTTGAGTGCATTGGCCAACGAGGAAAGATCAAGTCGACCACTCCTTGGATGTTAGAATAACGTGAGATAATCTAATGGATATCGATAAATCTATCATGTCTGTATAAAATACACTCAACAACAGGGCATCTACCACGCTCTAGGTTAAAGATTTACAACCCTTTTGAATGAAGCAATTTCTCCACTCCTTGGTTCTAAATGGATGACCCTTCATTCCATGTCTGTGACTGTTAGTTCCAGACTCCCATGCCAGGGAAAATATCCTCCAGTATCCACTGTCAGGTTCCTTTCAGATTTTATATATTTGTGGTAGATCAGTGGAAGAGCAGAGTGTGTATAATTCTGGTTTCCACACCATAGCATGTTGAAACAGTGGGGAAAGTGCAGTACACATTCACTTGGACGGATAGATGGAGAAATACCAGTACAATGAAATACTTGACAAATTGCAGTTGTTTTTGTCAAAGCAGAGGAGCTCACAGGGTTAGTTTGATAGAGGTTACCTGGTTATGGTGAATTTGATTTTGTCGGCCACGGCCAAGATCCTCTCCAGGTTCTGGGATCCGAATGTGCAGGGTTTTCGAAATGGAATGCCAGGTGGAAGCCCTTCGATTATAACAGAGCCAGGGTTGCTTTTTATCCGTTTATATGGAACTTGCACAGGATATTTTATACCTAAAGCTTCTCCTATAAATAACAAGAAGTGAGGCAATCACATTCACAGCTCTGCAATGTTTATGGAGTGTACAAACCAACATAAACAAGGACTGACACAGATGACTGGGACACAGAATGATGACACACATGATGAATTACCAAACTCAGCTGCTGTGTTGAAGGGAGCACCAAGCAACAGTTAGGTAATTCTCTACCTCATCTTATTCAGTGTTCAACAGTGAGGGGGGAAAAGAACTGTATCCTTAACATTACTACAGATGAGACAGTCTAGCTTTATGATCAACTCAGAATTTATTAATAATGTATCTGCAAAGTAACAATTAACTTTGAGTGGTCTTAATCAAGGACATGGAATTTGTAACACTGCTGAGAAACTTATTGAAATATGAGCTTAAAAATGATTACTGTGATGCTACTGTTTAATATGCGTCTGCATTCCTCTGTCCATTATGTTCGCAGAGACATTGGGCGTGTCTCCTGCCTGTAGAGACACTGCTGCAGTTAAAACAATACAAAACTGACCACACTTCTAAAGTACTGGGGTGACAGTGAAGGGCTTTGAAAATTCCTGAGGTTGTGACAGGTGCTATACAACTACAAGATTTTACTTTTGCCTTCCTTCCTTTCGCTAAGTCTGAATCCTGCCCAGCTGGGGAAAGGTACAAACTTGTCCTTAAGCAAAATATGTGAAAGTTGAAACTCTGGAGGGAATACAATGAAGAAAATAATTCATTTGCTAATGGACCAATGAATAGCATAACTCATATACTCTTTGACTAAGTTCATGCTGCCTAATAAATTCCTTCAAGCAATGACATCTATCTTCTGATTGTGCAACTGATGTGCCATTGGATTCCTCTGCATTAAAGGTGCTACATGAATGCAAGCTGCTGTTGTTGCCCTCTGTCCAAGTTTATGAAGATCTATAAAATACTAAAATGAAACCTCTACTCTTGCACTGTCCACTTAGCATGATTTATGCAACCCTCCACACTCTCTTCCTCACTCTCTCCAAAGCAGGTGAAAGAGGGAGTAACATATCAGGATATTGTAACTTGGTCCCACTATTTGCAACTACAAACAGAGCAGCTGTTCTGATTTAAACTCATCCACCAATGATTTAACAGTGCTGAATGCGACCCTTCCCATGTCCCCATTACCATATTTGCGATTGAACAGGTCCTGGACTTGCTCCCGTAGATTATTGGCAATGTCCACTCTCGTGAGCTTTGCATCATAATTTTCTGCAAAATAAAAATTTCCAGAACTAGAGTTGGGCTCCCACAGACCATCGAGTCAAAAATACAGATGTCCCCCAGGAACAGACATCCACCTTTTACATAAGTCACTTTACAAGGTCCTTGAGCAGGATCACATTGGTTACTGTCTTGAGTTTTACCTGGTCATAACAGAAAACATGGGGTTACCAGTATTTGCACCACCCTAGACTGAATAGTCATGGGCCTAGAGCACTGGGTTTTATAATACAGTTGACAGGAGTTTACCGACTCATTGTTTCCGGGCCAATTTATTTCCTCAACTGGTGCATAACAATTCTCACAAGCTCAAAGGATAAGTACTGGAGCAAACAGCAATGCAAATTGCCTTCAGCAAGACCCCAGGGCAGTGCTTCCCAAAATTACTTCCAGGGCAATCCTACCTTAATGCCTTAGACCTTGTGTAATCCCAGAATGGGTTGATGAGCAATTTGTGGGCCGGGGGTGGGGGGGAGTGGAGTTTCAGTCAAGTAGTGGTGGAGTTGCGGGGTTTTGGCTGGCAGGTTTGGGAGGCAGGAGTGGATGAACAGAAACTGAGTGGGGGAGGGGGTAGCGGAGTTGATGTACTCAGATAATTTTTGGCTGCACAAGCAACAATCAGGGCCAAGAGAGCAGTTCATTAGGACAGACTCACCAACAAAATAAACACAAGGATTGAAAAGGGCCACAAGGCTCAGAGACATGGATAGGAAGGCCCATCTTCTATTAGTAGAATCAATGACCAAGGGCCATAGATTTAAGAGATAAAAGGCTAAGGTGAGAGTTGAGGAGAAACTTTTTCACTCAGAGGATGGTGGGAACACATTGCCTCAAAGGCTGGTTCAGTCAGAAACTCTTGTAACATTTAAGCTGCATTTAGACAGCCTCCAAGCCATATGTGAAAACTGAAACATGGGATTAGTGGAGTCACGTCTTTGCCAACTGGCACAGAGATGATAAATGGCGTCCCTCTATGCTGTAAACCTCCGAGTCCTGCCAGATATCACTCTCAGCTCCACATGAACCCAGTGTTGCATTAAAGCTCACGACACCAAAAATCTCACCTCTCAACCCCCAGTGGGGTCACAAGCCTTGTCCTAGAGGCTAGTTCGGCGTTGAAGTCAAATCCATCCTTGGATAATGGATTAGGTTTTATTCTCAAAGGAACATGGCTACAGCCACACCAAAACTGTCAATTGTGTTACGTGGTTAAGTTTCAGAAATAGCTATTACTAACCCACTTGCCTGAATATCTAGCATCAGCAGGAATCAAAGCCCCTATCTCCTCCAGCCCCCCTGTGAGTTTGCAGTGGCTTCAAGTGACAGGCTTTACTGGGATGCTTAGGCTGCACCTCAATCAAATCCCAATCATAACAAACCCCTCAAAAGCGTTCTGCATTTCATACATTCCTGGATCAAACAGCATTACTACATCCCACTGGAGCATCCCTAAGTCACATGTATCGGTAGAACGTCATTACGATTAAAGAGAAAATTAGACAGTGCTTGTGCTGGAATGACAGTTTCATACTGTGGATGCATGGCCAATTGACAGCTGTGATGTGACCCTTCACCAAACCCAAATCACACAAGGCTGATACAGTATTAGCAAACCTACCAACACCCTCATTTATAAATAAATTTTGATGGCACTGCTCCAGAAATCTTATCTGCGCTTTTAACATATCTGTGAATATGTTCACGTCTTAATCTACCAAGCCCAGCTCTTGCTTCTGTCAAACAGGAGTGATATCTACAGAGAGAGGCAGGGAAGTGGGTGGAAAATCAGCTCAGAATTAGGATCTGTGCTTTCACTGAGCATCTTTATCAGGTAACCCCCAAATAGAACAAGCACTTGCTCACCTGGGATTGTCACTTCAATAATGTTGAGGGAATTGTTGACCTTATTTCCATCTGAATTTGTCAGGTACTTTGCTGTCGTCTTGTCTGGTGTTTCTAGCATAAAGAAAAACTGACATTAGACGGGAGGGTGAGATTGTGAGACTTGTGAAATATCAACCTCCCCTCTCCCCATAAACTTGCACCTTTTATCCCGCAGGAACCTCCTCCACCCCCTCCCCCAACCCCATCCTTACTCTGTTACTAATTTTGGTTTCTATGGGGAGGCTAGAAAGGTGCATGACAGAGGAAGAAAAGTAGAAAGATATGCTAATAAGGTTAAATCAAGAAAAACACAGGCCAGCTGGACTGAACAGTGTCATTCTATGCTGTATATTATACGCTTTAGAGAAGTATCTGACTGTGTCATAGTCATTCAGCCTCTTTGTCTCAGTAGTAGCTGAATTAACTCTGAAAATTTTGAACAATGTATTATTCTTTGAGCAATTTTAGCAAATCAACCACTGGGAGCCAAGACACAGCCACTGGTCTCCAAGATGTGGAGTTAAAAGAGCAAAAAGCAGTTTTTCTGATTGCCTGATTTTCAAGTATTTTGCTGAGAACAATGTAGAGTGCGTTACCAAGGTGATTCACAGAACAGTAGCCAGCAAACAATCAAATATCTCAATGCTTTCAAAAATTGCAGCATTCTTCATCATTTTACACATCTTTCAGCCGTGCTGTGAATATCTAGTTTTTAATTCATATAAATCAGAATACAACTTATAGTTTTAGGAACTACAGTTTTTTTTATATAAATAAATGGAAATACCTAATTAAGAAATTGGCATGAATGTCAAGTGAGTGCAATCAAACAAGCATAAAGTTAATTACAGTTAAAATCTTACCTATGTTTATCTGTAAGGCTAGTGTTAGAAATGTAAGCACCAAAGAAAGGGTGACCCATTTCTGGATCACTAGGTCAAGCTAGACTGTCAATCATTACCAACATAAAAACAGCTAAAAGCTAGCAATTCTCAGAAAGAGGGTCATGAGACTCCATTAGAGATGGATATCTGAGTTTTGCATGGAAGATAACTATAATTAGTTTGCATTTCTGTTTCAGAGTATCTCAAAGCATGGTGGGTTGTCATGGAGATAGGCTGTGATGGTGAAGTTATTTCATTGTTTAATCACTGCATCCCTGGCCACTGCACAGGAACAGGAAGCTGGTGCCAGTGATATAGTCAATGTGTGCCTGGAACTGGAACTGAGCACCCACTTCACTTACAGACACCAGCACCATGCTAATGATGCTGGCCATTCAACTGAATGTTCACCCTCACCATCTACAGTCGCCACCCTGTTTGACACTCTATTTGTTGTTCTGCTTGGTGCCCTACTCACTGGCCTGCTCCGCACTCCATTTCATTGGCCTGGCAGGTGCTTTGCTCACCACTCCCTTGACCATCCCACTCCCTCACTCTTGAGGAATGGTAAACACTGATGCAGTGGGTCGTGAATGAAAAAGGAGGCTCTGAGGAGTTGGGAGTAGCACAGCCAGGGAGGTAGTGAGTGAGGCAGCCAAGTTTTGCTAATATGGCAGTAAACATATCACACAATCCCAGGATTTGAATTGAATTGATTTGAAATATTTTTTAAAAAACACATTTTGTTAGCACTGCAGTTGTTAAAATATCTTTGGACTTGACAGAGGTGTACAAAATGATCAGAGGTATAGATAGAGTGGACAGCCAGAGACTTTTTCCTAGGGTGGAGGTAGCTATTACGAGGGGACATAGTTTTAAAATGAGTGGAGGTAGATATAGGGGAGACATCAGAGGTAGGTTCTTTACTCAGAGAGTGGTCGGGGCATGGAATGCATTGCCGGAGAGGGTAGTGGTGTCAGCCTCATTAGGGGCATTTAAGCGGCTATTAGATAGGCATATGGATGATAGCATAAGGTAGGGGTGGAGATTAGATAGACCTTAGGTTTAGGGTAAAAGTTTGGCACAACATCGTGGGCCGCAGGGCCTGTACTGTTCTGTACTGTTCTACGTTCATTGCTCAATGTTACAGATAGTCCCATTCTTTGATCCAGGCAACCAACCAGCACTGTCCTCACAGTCCCTTGAGCTTCACGACTGCACTTGTAGTGGCAGCAAATACAGGTTGTTTAATTTATGTGCATGTGTTTACTGACAGAAACAAACAGTTCAGTTTGGAAAACGACAAGCAGCAATTTCAGATTTGATCGTCTACAAGCTGTAACTCTGAGCTGTGACAGCTAAAAGGAAATTAACGCTCGTCACACATGCATTTAAGCAAAGAAAATGCTAAGTCTATTGCTCATTGTAGGGTATGTGATGGGAAGGATTTGAGAAGGTAACTGTATTTGTGCCAACAATCAGGACAAGGAGCTGATGTCTTTCAGAAGTTGGGGCTCACTTGGCCAATAGCTAACGTACCGTTCCCCACAAATCTTGTAACTTGATGCAAGCTGGGTAATTAATATACATTCTGGATGGCTATGGCATACTTTTGGATTGATCCCTAAAAGAAGAGAATGAACTTTTCTAGATTTTATTTCATAATGGAACTCCTGGAAAGTAGAAAGTAACAAATACCACTGAACATACACTATAACCTGTAGAAACCATAGTTAATAGTGATGAATTCTTTTTACATACAATAAAGGTTGTTTTTGAATAGAAATGTGAAATCTTGTGACATAGTCCTGTCATTTAATCACAGTGTTTGGATTTCTATTTAAACATTAATGTTCTCTGACAAGATCATAACAATAATTTCCCACGTATTGTTCAGTTTATTCCAGGTCTGCATAGAGAAGTAATTTTAGAAAGACCCTCCAATATTTGTTGTCACCTGACAAAAGGAGCAGTGCTTTGAAAGCTTGTGATTTTAAAAAAATCTGTTGGACTATAACCTGGTGTCATGTAACTTCTGCTTTTTAGGTATGACAATTAATACTAGATAAATGATTAATTCTAAACACAAGACTGATCGACTGTCATGATCTCAGTGAATGGTGGAACAAGCTCATAGAGTTAAATGTCCTGCTCTTGATCTGGGAACTGGAGAGAGGGTTATTCTCCTTGCCCAACTATGAATGGTATTGCACAAACCTGTTTGGATCTGTCTTTTTAGCTGTGTTGCTTCACCTTTCACATAGTCATGAGGCTCTTGTGTTTTTGCTGGAATAAACACAATGATGGTTACAATGATCCTGAAATCTAAATGATTCAAACCACCAGTGGAACAGCAATACTCGGCAAACAGGAGAATTTCTTCCACTCAACAATTTCATCTAGAATTTCTCAGTGGGAGTACAGCAGAGCAGATATACCATTCTCCTCCATTTATAGCACAGACCCCTACAGCTCTGCTCTCGTGCGATTGTGCACCCTCTATCATAGATCATCATAGACCATAAAATCCCTACAGTGTGGAAACAGGCCCTTCAGCCCAACAAGTCCACACTGACCCTTGGAGCATCCCACCCAGACCCATCCGCCTATAACCCACCTAAGCTACACATCCCTGAACACTACAGGCAATTTAGCATGGCCAATCCACCTAGCCTGCACATCTTTGGTCTGTGGGAGGAAACTGGAGCACCTGGACGAAACCCACACAGACATGGGGAGAATGTGCAAACTCCACACAGACAGTCGCCCGAGAATGGAATTGAACCCAGGTTCCTGGCGCTGTGAGGCAGCAGTGCTAACCACTGAGCTATGTTATGGTGCCACAAATAAACACCAGATGTGTGTTACGAGCTGGCTAGGGACCAGTAACCTTTACTTTTATAGCAAACAATGTTTAGATCCGGGGGCTTGCTGAGAGAATAAGGTCACAAGTTTGCACAGTTGTAAACAGGAAACTATTAACTTTACAATGGCTAGAGCAGTAATAAATTGTATGTGTTTTGTAGCTTGTATTTCTAACACCCAGAATTAACACGTGGTAAATATGGATAATCGGCTGGTATCGGACACCCCACAGTGCACATCAAACGCAGTCAGGACAGATCCCATAGATTTCCCAGCATTTTCACCCAGATGTTAACAGTTCAGTGAATCATCAAATTTCATTGTAAATATCCGCTCTGTCATGGACTACATCAATGACTGCTCCTCCTCTGGTCCTCCTTCATGCTTGCTTCCAGGGTTTGCATTCCTTTAGACTCCAAAACTATACTCCAGTCCTCATTCAGGAGCATAACCCCAGCTCTTCACTGACAGCTAGCTTCATCAAGCCAGGGTTGTCCCTAGGTTTCTGCAGAGCTCCAATCTTGCATCAAGTAGATACTAGTGGTAAGCTTTTCAATGCCATCTCTCTCACCTGCTCTTAACTTGCGAGCTCTGAACCTCCGACAGCTTCCTCCAAAAGAAAGCCAGTGACCTTTCCACTTACTCAGCTTCCCAGGTCTTATTCACAGCTGATTCCAACACTTAGCTGCAGACTAATTCTGAGAACATCTTCCTAAGTTCTAACAGCACAGAGCCATTCAACTGAATCTCCTCACCGAGTCTCCTCCACAGAATCTGTGTTCAGCTGCCTATAGCACTCCTAATGTGGTGTCATCTTCTGTCTCTCTCTCTGTTTCGGCAAATAGCTGCGTCCTACCACCATTCCTGGGGCAGGATGGTGGCTCAGTGGCTAGCGCTGCTGCCTCACAGCACCAGAGAACTGGGTTCGATTCCACCCTCAGGCAACTGTCTGTGTAGAGTTTGCACATTCTCCACATGTCTGCGTGGGTTTCCTCCGGGTGCTCTGGTTTCCTCCCACAGTCCAAAGATGTGCAGGTTAAGTGATTTGGCCATGCTAAATTGTCCATAATGTCCAGGGACGTGCAGGCTAGGTGGATTAGCCTTGGGAAATGCAGAGTTACAGGGACAGGGTTGGGTCTGGGTGGGGCATTCTTTGGAGAGTGAGTATGGACTTAATGGGTCAAATGGCCTGCTTCCACAATGTAGGGATTCTATGATTCTTTGAACTCCTCTTCAGTAATTCTGAAACTGTCCTGAATGACTTATTGAAAACCTTGCATTAAGTTCCCTCCCTGTCACTGGATAAAACCGAATGCATCTAACATTTTTGAAACTGTCGAATGTAGCACCCTGAAGGTTATATTCTCACAGAGGGCTGGAAATGGATTTCATCATATCTGAAATTAAAGGATACTTGTGCAAGGACTCCTGCCAGGATAAGAGGAGTCGAAGCTGGGTGAGTCACTGCATTCAGGATGGTAACAAAGGAGTTCTTCGGTCAAACTAGTTAGTCTGGAGATAAGGTGTTCCTGTGGATTTCAAAGCATTCCTGCACATTAGGTTTAAGACAGTAGACATAATAAAACTAACTGTAGCCTCTTTCTGAGCATATTTTAATACTTCCTCAATTTTTTCTCTTCTTTCTATAAGTTCAAAAGGCTTTTGTCCTCAACTCTCTTTTAAGTCTGCCTCCCCATTCACTTCAATCCCTTCCGTCCTGCTTTATGTCCCTTGATCTGCGAAGCAGTTTGGGAGCACTGCGTGGGTGCATGCTGTTTCTAAGGAATGCTCCGGTTATTATATATCAGTGGATCCCCAAAGTGCCAAAATTTGTCTAAGAGCATACTACAAAACTGAAGAGGAACTGAAGAGCTCTGCTGAAAGCAAACATATCACCTTGTTTGAATCAACACAAGAACATGGTGGACAGGCTCAAAATAAATCCAGCACACAAAAGATAACTCCTCTTGATGTTTCTTCAGGGCTCCCTTTTGTTTTTCAGGAACTATTGCTTAGATTTCAGGGACTCCCTTTTTAGTCACACTCACTTAATTCGATCTGTGTTTGTGTTGGTATTTGGATTGGACTCTCACAGAAGCAGAATTGACAATGTCTTCAGTGGAAATGCATTCACCACATTTTCCCCTTCAGACTATCACCCGAATTCCTGCAGCATCAATCTAGAAATTGCACATGAATTTGCCAAGAATTTGTTACCATTTTCCTGCTCCCAGTTAGGTAAGTATTCGTCAAAGTCATCTTCCTCCCTCTTTCAGACCCACACCTCTCATTTTACAAACACACCTCCCTGCGCAGCTCCTTTATAGCCTCTCATATAGCTCCTCTCTCCCATTTTGTAGCCGCACCTCGCCCGTCCCCTTTCTCCCCGGCTCCTGATAACCAGCCCGTGGTTGGAGAAGGTTCCTCACCATTTGGGGTGGCACGGTGGCTCAGTGGTTAGCACAGCTGCCTCACAGCATCAGGGACCAAGTTTGAATCCACCCTCAGACGGCTGTCTGTGTGGGTTTGCTCCGGTTTCCTCCCACAGTCCAAAGATGTGCAGGATAGGGTGGATTGGCCGTGCTAAATTGACCATAGTGTCCAGGGATGTGCAGGCTAGGTGGATTAGCCATGGGGAATGCTGGGTTACGATAGGAGTGTGGGTCTGGGTGGAAACTCTTGGAGACGAGGGGGTGTCGGTGTGAACTCAATGGGCCGAATGGCCTGCTTCCATACTATAGGCTTTCTTTCTATGATTTTGTTTCATCCTAAGTGGGGGGGGTGGTGGTGACTTTCCTGTAATTGATCACCTCAATGGGTCGATGTTCCAGGGAGATTTCAGGATTTCAGTGGTGGATCTGGCTGCCACCCCCCACGTATTGAGTGTTGGCCTGTTGTCACGTTGGAGCAAATCTCCTTGTTCTTGTGCTGTACATAATATCGTGACTGTGACATCTCACAACAGTGGTGTAGCATTGTCAGCCATCAATTGCTGTTAAACCCATCAGGTTCATTAATGCCCTTCAGGGAAGGAAATCTGCCACCTTTACCCAGTCTGGTCTACACATGACTCCAGCCCCACAGCAACGTGGTGACTCTTATCTTCCCTCTGAAGTGGTTGAACAAGATGCTCAGTTCCAGGGTAACTATGGAAAGGCACAAGTGCTAGCCTCATCAGCTATGCCCATTATCCAGAGAAAGAATGAAGAAGAATCTGACTTTGAGAGCCGAGGCAGGTGGAGATGCACAGTGACATTTCGTTCACGTGTTCCAATTACTTTTGAAACACACTTTACAAACAAATCAAAAAAGGTTCCAAGCTGATGACTCCAGGATTATTTGCACACTTCTTCTGCTTGACCCATAGCTTAGGCTTAATCACATGACACAGGAAAATATAAACTGTCAGAATTCACAACGTCACTGACTCCAGGGTCTGATTGTGTATTCACAACCTCATTCAAATCAATCCTTCATCCTTGGTTAGTTCAGTTGAGTGGACGGCTGGTGTTTGATACCAACAGCATGGTTCCAATGCCTGCACTAGCTGAGGTTAGCATGAAGGTCCTGCCTTCTCAACGTTGCCCCTTGCCCGAGGCGTGGTGACCCTCAGGTCAAAGTCACCACCTTTCATCTCTCTCTGATAAGGACTACGTGACTTTCCCTTTTCCAGTTGATGTGTCCAACCCATTCAAAAGAACAGAAGCATGAGCAGTCATTGTACAGGGAGATTTTCTGGTGATCATACGATAGCAAAGTAATGCCATTGGAAGGAGGTGCTGTCAGCCTGCCAGGGTATATCCACTTTCATCTTCCATTACAGAATTCCAGGTTCCCTGTGTGAACTTTGGCTGACGATGTGAACTTGCGCCCATCACTTTTTATCTTTCCCTGTTTAGTGCTTTCACTTTATCCTCCAGGCAGCTGTCTCCTGTTATTGTCTCTCTCAGTTCAAGCTCGCCCCTCTCTCAGGTACTCTACTCGTTCAAGACCCTAACCCAATGCTGGGGTCAGTACCTGGAGACCTTCCCACTTTCCAGTGCCACCTGAGGCTGCAGTCCCTCTTCAATAAGCCTGGTGTGATTTTTTTTCCAGCAGGGTGATTGTCCTGAGGTGGTAATGCTTATATTCTGTTCTCTAATATGCAAATAACTAGTTTAACTGCATAAGCACTGCCAGGTCTGGAGGGAGAGCTTGAGGTCCTGCTTTCTACTGCCAAAAGCACTCACTATTCCAGAATCACCCTGGAATGTAAAAACTACCCCAGGTTTCTGTTCTCCATGACAAAGAGTCTTTCGAAAATGCCACTCTGCTGCATCCTCCACCCCCATGTTCAGGGAGCTCAGGGATCTGTTTGTCATGAAGGTTGAGACCAGCTGATCAGCTGTCTCTCCCACTGGCCCAAACGTCATGAGGTTCTGACCTAGCCTTGAACTTGCATATTTCCTAAATCTCCCTCCAATTTCCCACTAGAAAAGAAAGCCTTGCATTTAAAAAGTGCCTCTCACAACCTCAGGATATCCCAAAGTGCTGTACTGTACTTTCCACAGGCTCTGTAATATCCATAGGACCCCACCTCCTGATCCATCAATCCTATTCCCAACAAACACTTCCCCTTTCTTAGCAGATACTATTAATCACTTCCCCTCCCCAAATACTTCAATCCACACTCATTTCCAATCTGCGTGGTGTTTCAGCAACATATTCAGAAAATAGTGGTCCCACATATACTGATAACTCTTAGCTCCATGAGATTGTCACTTCCCTCACCTCCTTCATTATCGCCATTTCATCTGACTGTATATCCAGAAGTGAATGAGCAGCAACCTTCCCAGATTAAAAATATTAGGAAGATTGAAGCCACAGTCTACTCCGCAAGCCCCACTCACTATCTGTTGTAAAGGGTCTGAATGTTTGAAAGAGCTAATGCTAAGGAACACATTAAACACCGCCCAGATGATGATATCATATCGACAAGGGCGTGGGACCTGTTTTCGCTCTCAGATGTCTCCCTCATAGTCTCAGTGCAATCAGACCAATGTAACTTGTATCTGGTGCTTTCATGCAATAACCTACGTATTGTCTAAGATGAGAGCATCTTCTCAGTAGACTAACAAATGGTTTACCTTGTCCACACTGGACCAACCAGGCCCTGAAGATCCCTAACAAGGAGGAAGGCTGTGCCAGCAAATCTACCATCTTTCATCATGACAAGCAGTGGTGACAGTTCATCCTATAACAGAACAACTGCCTCCCTTCCTCTCCCAGACAATTCCCAGAGGCTCAGCCAGACTGTTCACTACCTTGGTGCCATATCTGACTCTGAAAGCAGTTTCCAACACCCAGAGTTCCCCATCACCAAGACTGCCTAGTCCCTCCTATGTTGCACCACCTGACTCCACCCATGCCTTAGCTCACTCGATGCAAAAACCCTCATCCTTCACTACTCAGATATTCTCCTGGTCAAACTCTGAACATCCATAAACCCAATCACTTAACAAACTCCACTGCCTACTTCCCAACTTACACTGAGTCTTGCTTACCCATTACCGATCACCCCACCTTGCCCCCAACAGCTAACTTATATTCGATTCCCAGCTTGGCAATGCCTCAATATTAAAATCCAATTGCTTGTTTGCAAGCCCCCTCTATTTCTGTACTGCCTTCCAACTCTGGCCTCTTTCATAACCTGATTCACTCCATCACTGGTGACCGTATCGACAGCTGTCAAGGTCCTAAGCTGGGAATTCTCCATATAAGCCGCTTTGCCTCTCGCCTGCTTTAAGTCGCTCCTTAAAAGCTACCACTCTGTGCCAGCTTTTGGTCAATTAATCTTCCTTTGTAGCTTACTATCAAATAATATGCAAAGGAAAACATTGGGGCTTGTCTCTTCAGTAAAACAGCTTTCCTGCTCCTCTGATACTGCCTGGCCTGCTGCGTTCCTCCAGCTCCACACCGTGTTATCTCTACACATGTTGTTACTTTTTCAGGTTGATTTTGGAGGCCACACTACCATCCAGTGGTGAAAGTGAATATAGCAAGTGTTGCAAGGACTTAAATGGAGTGTGCCATATAGATATAGTTATGGATATGATTGAGTTTATCAATCTCTTTGTAACTTCTTAAAAGAAAAATCAGAATTAGTATCTCACTACATTTCTGACTTCTGTCTTTCAATCAGGTATTCTGATCTGAAACATTGCTGCAGTTTTCCACTCCAGGATTAAAAGACTTAAAATTTTACACATTTGTTACTGTTCAGTGTAAAATACAAACACAGAAATCTCATCTTCCTGCTCATTAAGGAGCACAGTACTCGTCTCTGATTGGATTTGAGTCTTTTGCCAGAGACTGCAAGGGAGAACAAATTAGAAAACAAACAAAAAGATGGTAGTACACAGTGAAACCTGATCATTTACATTTGAAAGGAATAATGCAGGCCTGACCAACCAATCACACATGGGGCTAATTTCGTACTGGGATATTCCTTCAGAGCTCACTGTTATTTACAGCCTGACACTGTTGTCCATAGCAACTGCAGATCCATCCCTTATCACCCTCTTAGCTCATTCATGATCTAAATCCTCGATGGTGGAGATCCTTTCACATGTGAGGAAAGGCAGGGAAGGATTCATTGTTGGCTGCCTAAGATAGGCCCAAGCAGCAGAGCAAGACACTACCAGGAACTGGGAGTGGATCACTGGCACCACCTTTCAACCTCAACCATTGGAGTCAAGGAAAGTAAAAATTAGAAGCGTTTTAAACATATAAAGCACCAGTTGGATTTAGAGCCGTTATTTCTCAAGAACACGTTTCTCAGAATGGGGGCATTTCTGATAAGGCCTTCATTTATTGTCCTTCCTAGTTTCCTAGAGTTGGATCAAACGGAATTTGTCTACTCATGAGGGAGGTTAGGAGCCAGCGCTGTTCTTCTGTGACTGGAGTCATGATTGGGTCATTCAGACAGAGGAAGGAATCAGGTTTCTCTCCCCAAGGAAGGATGAATGAATCTGTTGGCTATTTACAATTGCCGTATCTTTGTGTTCACTTTTACTGATATTACATTTTGATTTCTAGGAATTTATTTTAAAAGTCTAAACTCAAATTCTCCAACTGCCAGAACTGGGTCTGATGCTTTGCTACACTTGGTCTGGTGCAGTCTACTTTCTTACCTGCTGTATTCTTTTTCTCCTTGCATGAATCTTGTCCTTCAAGTAGAAGTTGTGGCCTGCAAGCATAATTTTAGCATATTAATGATGAACTTAACTTGCATCAAGTAAAAAGCATCCAGTTCTTTTCAAAGCAAAGCATCAAAGGGAAGAAAAATCTCCACAAAAGGCCTGGAATGAGGAAACTAATTTTAAAATTACAACATGCTGAACCAACTTCCCACTGTTGGTAGGGTGTTTCCCTGATGGGAAAGATGCCATTGCTGTGGACAGTTGTTGTTTAATCGTTCCGTTCAGAATCCTCGATCCCAAATAGGACTGGTGTTCATTTGCCCACAAGCAGAAATTTGGAGAACAGTTCTCAAACTATACCAACAAAAATATAGATTTTCTCTTTGAAAGTAGCTGCTGGTATAGTAGAATGGGTGCATCACGCCAGGGATGAGGGAGGGGATGAGAAGTTCTTGAAGTGGCGAGAATTGATGTTTTGTTTCGCATGTGCACTGTCCTAAAGAAGGTGTTGGGGTGGGAGCATTCTTGCTATCTCAGGACTTGCTCGAGCATCATCAAGCAGTTACTCATTCACCATGTTTCTGATAATTCTTACTTTTTGATGATAAACTGAATGCCCTCGCTCGCTTCTAAAATCTTCTGGAGCTTCGAAATTCCAAAGCAATTGGGTCTCCTGAATGGGATACCCTCTGGCAAACCTTCCACAAGTAATTCCTCAGGATGGGACTGGAATTTCAAATAAGGGATCTTCACTGGATTGGAAAGTCCCATCGCTTCACCTGAAACAGAAATGGCAGTGGTAACACCTTTGAAGGCTGAATGAATCCAGGAGACTGTGAGTGTGTTGAATCTTACACTGGGGAGAGGGTTACAGCTGGAATGCTCTCCAGTGGTTTCACTTCAGTGCTAGAATTCTCGCTCTGCTTTGTGAAGTCATAAGACGGGGTCTCGGAGTAGGCTCAGTGCCCTCACTTCTCTGGCCACTCCTCCTGCTTCAAGCAGGCTGGATGTGTTCAGAACTGATCCATCATTGTACCAGGATATTCCATTTGTGGGACATCGGACATTCACTACCACCACCCACCCATCTTCCTCAGTCTTGCAGTCAGAAGTGCAAAAGATTAACATCTTATTGCGGGGAGAAGAAGACTCCAACAGTGCAGTCACTCCAAAGCCCAGTTTAATAACGAAGGCCTCAAGCCTCTAAGTGTAGTTCTATCTGATGAGTGATATACAATATTAACAATGCCTTCTAACTCACCATACTTTCTGTCGAAAAGGATCTCAACCTGCTTCCTCAGTTCTGTAATCTTTTCATTCCATTCTTCTGAAGGAAAGTACAGTGTAAGAAAAGAAGTCATATAAGAGCTGGTACATAAATCAGAAAGCAAGATGGAAAAATGTCTTTGACTATTATTAATCCTTTTTTGAGTGAGAACAGAGTGTGGCATCAAGGAACTTTAGTGCCAGTTGGACAAGATGATCATAAGCTGCAGGAGCAGAAATAGGCCAATCAGCCCATCAAGTCTTCTCCGCCATTCCATAGCTGTTCTGATAATCCTCAACTCCACTTTCCTGCTTTTTCCCCATAACCCTTGATTCCCTCACTGACTAAAAATCTACCTCAGCCTTGAATACCCTTAATGACCAAGACTCAACAGCCCTCTGCAATAAAGAATTCCACAGATTCAATACCCTATGACAACCATTCCTCATCTCTTCTTAAATGGGAAGCCCCTTATTTTGAGATTATGTCACCTGGTCTTGGACTCCCGCAGAACGGGAACCAACCTTGCTATATCTATCCTGTCAAGTCCCCTAAGAATCTTACAGTTTCAAGAAGGTGTCACATTCTTCTGAACTCTAATGAGTATTAGCTTAACTGACTCAACATCTTCTCATAAGAAAAACTCCGACTCAACACAGTGAACCTTCTCTGAACTGGCTCCTTTCTTTAGAGAAGGGAACTAAAACTGTTCACAGTATTCCAGCCATTGCCTTGGATAGTTTTAGCAAACCAGTCAGGAAGAAGGGTCACCGGACCCGAAACGTTAACTCTGATCTTTTTCTTTACAGATGCTGCCAGACCTGCTGAGCTTTTCCAGCAATTTCTGTTTTTGTTTAGCAAACCTTCCCTATTTTTACTCATTCCCTTTGAAATAAAGGCCAACATTCCATGGCCTTCCGTATTACCTGTTGAATTTGATGGAGCTTTTTATGATTTATGCTGTAACTTTCCGCAATCTTTCTCCATTTAAATAATATTCAGTTCCTCCAATCTTTTTGCCAAAGTGCATAAACTCACATCCTTCCACATTACATTCCTGCTAAGTTGTTTCACCTTTCTGTTTGCCTCGGTGTCATCTTCAACACATGCCGTGCACAATACCATGCACCAGGTACCATTCTGCTTTGCTACCCCTTCTCCAGCTGGGTGCTGTCTGACCCTCTTCTTGTGTGGCTGTGTTATCTCACAATGCTGTTCGCTGCCACCGTCCTCTTCAGACGGAGGAAGAGGACAGGGCATGCTTGGTCTAGTGTGGTAGAGGGCAGCCACTGACTGGTCTAACGAGAGAAGTCTCTTGTAGTTAACGAGGTATAGCTTATTGCACTGCAGCAAATCATTACAGGTTACAGAAATGATGGACTTGGTTACAGAGACTAAGAGGAAGACCTGATGATAGATCCCACTCTTTCAAGACAGTACTGTCCTCAAAACCACATCATCATAACAGGTGGAGCTAATGGCACTCCTCAGCATTAACCCTTTCACACCCCTACACATCACCTTTCACCAACTACTCAGTCACATCTCCCAGTATCTTTAAACAGATAATACAAAACCTAAGGTAATAGTCTCAGCCAACTGGTAACACTCACATCAGAGTCAGTGTGTTCAAGCCCAACTGCAGACTGGAACTTATACGTTAATATAAAAGAACCGAGGGACTGCTGCACTATCGGTGAATGTCACCATTACAGAGAAGCATATCATTCTGTCTCCCCTCTTGTGTGGACATAAACACCTCGCAGCAGAAGAAGGGAGAATGCTTCCTATTATCACTGAATATTTCTCTCAACCAACATCACTAAAAACAGATGAACTGTTCATTCTCTCTGTGCTATTTATGGGATCTTGCTGTGGTTACAGATTAGCTGCTTTGTGATTGGGACATCTTGAAACCACGAGAGGCATTCATTACAGAATGATAAATTCTTCTTTCTTTCAAGGGGTTCTTCTCCCCCTTTCAGTTTTGGGGCGCTCTCTGTGCTAACCTTCTGATATCATAATGGCAAGATCATTCTTCCGCGGACTTTCTCCCAGCAGCATCTTATCAGCCCCAATGGCAGTAACAGTCACAAATTACTGACCTTTCACCAGCACGTGTGGATCTTCATGATTAGAAACATTGTCCTGTGCAGCATCTGAGGTCAGCAAAGGGGAACACATCAATGTTGCAGTTAGTTATGATCAACAATCTTTCACAGATGACATGAAAATTGACAGGCTGGTAAACCATGAAGAGAATAGCTGTAAACTGCAGGAAGACATCAACAAGACTGTTGAGCTGAGCAGAACAGTGGCGAACAGAATTAAACCTGGAAATGTGCAAGGCAGAAAAGGTTCACCAGGATGCTACCTGTATTGGAAGCTTTGAGTTATAAGGAGAGATTGGATAGGCTGGGACTTTTCCCCCTGGAGCTTAGGAGACTGAGGGGTGACCTCACAGAGGTTTAAAAAATCATGAGACATATACATAAGGTAGACAGCTGACATCTTTTCCCCAGGGTAGGGGAGTCTAAAACTAGAGGGCATAGGTTTAAGGTGAGAGGGGAGAGATACAAAAGGGTCCAGAGGGGCAACTTTTTTCCCCCACACAGAGGGTGGTGAGTATCTGGAATGGGCTGCCAGAGATTGTGGTAGAAGCGAATACAATTTTGCCATTTAAGAAACATTTGGACAAGTACACGGATGGGACAGGTATGGGGGGATATGGACCAAACACAGGTAAATGTGACTAGTTTAATTGTGAAAACTGGGCAGCATGGGCAAGTTGGGCCAAGGGCCTATTTCCATGCTGTAAACATCTATGACTCTAATGCGTTTGGGGAGAGCTAACAAGGAATTTCACGATGAAGGTAGAACCTTGGAAAATACTGAAGATCAAAAAGACCTTGGTGTGTATATTCACAGATCACTTATCAGGGCAGGTAGATAACTTGTTTAAGGCGGCATAAAGAATATGCAACTTTATTAGTTGACGCATAGAATACAAAGTGCAGGGAGGTTATGCTGGAACTTTGTAAAACGCTGTTAGGCCACAACTGGAGTATCGAGTGCAGTTCTGGTCACTACATGACAGAAAGGACGTGATTGCATGAGAGGGGAGCTTTATCGGGATGCTGATGGGGTTGGAGGAGTTGAGCTATGAGGATAGATTGGATAGGCAGGAGTGAAGGTTGAGCAGGGACTTGATAGAGGCATATAAGATTATGAGGGGTAGAATAGGAATAGGATGAAGAGGAAGGTACCTTTCCATTAGTAGAGGGTTCTGGGGAGGAGGCAGGTGCTAGGAGGAGAGTGGAGGAAAAACACTTTCTCCCCAAGAAGATGGTTGGAGTCTGGAACACACTGGCTGCAAGAGTGGTTGAGTCAAAAACTCTTGTAGCATTTTAAGCAATAATCAAAAGTCACTTATATTACCATAATGTCCAGGGCAATGGACCAAAAGCTGAAAAATAGAATTAATGTAGTCAGACTTTGTTGACTGGCATTGACACAGTGGGCCGAATGGCCTCCTTATGTTCTATAATCATCTATGAGACTCAAGTCCACAGCACATAAAAGGTGCTGGAACAGCTTGGCAGTGGTGAGGAGTAGATCTCAAACCAATCAGGCTGCCCATGCCAGCCTGGAACTGCTTCCAAAAGGCACATCTGCCAGATTCATCCACCAACAAAGCAGCTCAACTATTGGGAAGGAGTTGGGACTGGTAGAGTAGAAATATAATCTTTATTTTAAAGAATTCTGCATAGTCAGCTGTGGCTGAATTGGCAGCAAAAATGTACGTTTTCAATCAACAGTTTGAGAGTTTAAGTCCTGCTCGAGGGTTGAAGTACAAAAATCAAAACTGACACTCTAGTGCAGTATTGGGAGAGTGCTGCAATGTTGGAGCTGCTGTCTTTCAAAGGAGATGTCAAACTGAGCCCTTGGTTCATATAAAAGATGCAAGAGATCTGAATACATTATTCTGAGGTCTTGGTCAATATTTAACCCTTAATCATCATCTCATCACAGACTGTGTAGACCTTTCAGCTTCAGTGCTTCATTGAGGAGGTTTGCTGTGCTACACTTTAAAATAAAAATGTACTTCATTGGCTATAAGGCACTGTGACATAGTTGGTGGTTGGGAAAAGTAGGATATAAAAGTAAGAGTAGGAACTGCAGATGCTGGAGAATCTGAGATAACAAGATGTAGAGCTGGATGAACACAGCAGGCCAAGCAGCATCAGAGGAGCAGGAAGGCTGACGTTTCGAGCCTAGACCCTTCTTC